AATATCTATTAATAAGCTTATGATTCCAGATTGTATTTTCTCGCATTATGTTACTTAATTGTTTGGTTATCATGAAGAATTTTATAGATTCTCTGTACACATAATATGAGTCTTGTAGTGTAGCAGTCATATTCTCAATTCGCGTATTCATTCCCTTAAAATTCCTATTTACCTCATCAGTGATTGTTTTTAAAATGTTTTTTGTAGAATCGACTAAAGAAGTTTGTTTCTTACTTAGCTCATTCAGATTGTGCTGATTGCTTAATAAGTTTTTCATATTATCCTCCATTTGAAACCTATCGTCTTCATCCATTATCCCAAATAAAATATGATATAGGGATCCCATAAATCCAAATGGAGCTCGCTTATTTCGTGCCCTACTTTGAGCCATGAACAGTTTGTTATTTTCTTCCAAGTCTAACATTTTCTTTTCTGTATTTTCCAAAACTAAAAGGAATTGGTCTTCGAAAGTATGAAGCCTTTCGCAAATCAATTTCATTTTCGGAACTAAATCTTTAACCATTTTTAGCATCTCAAAATAGGTGTCCATATTATAGAAAATTATTAGATTCCAAGAGGAGGCTTCTATTTCAACATCCCCCATTGGATCTATATATATTACCGAAGTCTTATTTATTTTTTCTATTGTATATTTTGGTTTATCAACCTTGGGTTATGCGTTAGAAAATTGATAACTTAATATAAATAACAACATGGCCATTATAAACCCGAGTTTTGATATTCTCGATGAATTTCTAGTCTGCCTTTTTTGCTGGATCTCTTCAGTTTCAGCCTCAACCTTGGCGACAGACTTAATTCCGTCTAAGGGACAAATTTTACTGATGAGTCTAGTGATAAATACATCTTGCAATTTTACCTCTACCACTCTGACCCTTTCATCTTTGCCTTTATGGATTTTTTCCACCTTTCCTATTGGCCATCTGGCTGGATGACAATTTTCAACTTTTAAGAGGACAATTTGTCCTTTTTCTATATTATGACTTTCCCTCTTCCATTTGTGCCTCTGCTGAAGAGTATGCAAATACTCCTCTTTCCACTTCACCCAGAAATCTCTTTTTATCTTTTGAATTAGTCTCCACCTATCTAGATTTCCAATTTTTATACCCGTACTCAAAAAAGAGTTAAGGGGTATATTAGATTTGTGGTAAAAGTGGATGTGTATAACGCAGAGTATGAAACGTTTCCGACCCCATAAAGTATATATAATCGGTTACAATATATATATATGCAGTGGGCAATGCAAATAGAAAACAAAGGTGAGATTACGTTAATTTGCTCCACTGGCTATTTTGAGGAATTTATTGGGGAATATCAGGCCGGGAAATCAGACATACTCCCCCCGTTGAAAGCCTGACTTTCAACAGATGCTGAAGGGTTTTACAGCCGTCGCTTGTGGCTGATTTGATGTAGCAATCCTGATTCCGTACTTAGCAAAGCATCTTGAGACACGCCAATGAATCCGGGAATGAATTTGACCAATGTCCCAGGGTTCTGTATACGCTTTGAACGCAGCTGCAGCGACGAGATTGTAATGTCCTATCTCAGGCTGAGGTATGCATCAGTCTGTCCAGGGTCCTGAATTACAAGTTATTTATAATACACGAGGACTTTATCGGGAAAACCAGGAACTTTGCCAGAACCTGAAATAGAAATCACAACACTTTTTGGTTCTTTTAATTTTAATGGGTTTCTTTATTCTTCCGTATTATTATTCTACCCGGTTATGTTATGTTTAATTGTTCTACGACGCGTATGGTGGTTTGACTGCGTGTTTGTTATTTGCCTGACTGCTACGGCTGGTGGACTCGCTGCCTACGATGGCTGGTGGACTGCCTTTTTCTTCATGCAAGGCAGTGCCTTTCATTTTCCCATGAATGTCTTACAGATATCTTATTTCTACTCCAGAATGTGGGAAGGGTTCTTACATAAATATATATTGCCGAATTATAGTCTGCGCGTGCAGACGGGCTGATCGGTAACAGAAGGTTACCTAATCATTAGCCCTGCAGTCAGTGTCCAATATTCCCGGTAAGGAAAGTCGGAGACTGCTGACTGGCGCGCGCATGTGGGGGGTCTGCCCGGTAATCGAGGGTTACCTAAGCAATCGCCTCCCAACAAGTGTCCAATGTCCCAGGTAAGGTGATCGGTGTGCACCAGTACCGTGGGAAAGGAATTTCGTTGGCATTATTGCGTAAGCCCCATGTGCTGGTCTCCTGTCTTTTTGCGTGTGCTGAGTTTGCATTTTTGCTGGGTGTTGATCGCTTCACCTGGGAGTAGCGTTGGCTGCGTCGTCTGCTTGTGACGAACCATGGGATCCATGGTTCGTTACACCCCCCCTTTCTTCCGGGTGGGTGATGGAGAGATTTGTGGCGTCGCTTGGCGGGTGGTGAGGTTCGCCCTTTTCCGGGTTATCCTGTCCTTTGGCTTGTGCCGAGTCTCCGGATTCGTCGCTGTTAATCTCGTCACTTTAGCGTGGCGTCGGTAACGTTATATTTTCCACTGCTGCTGTGATCGTGGCCTTTCTGCTGTTCTGGGTGCTTTGTAGTTGGTGTAGTTGGTGCTTGGTGGGTCGATTATCCCATATGACGATGGTTTTCTAGGCAGTTTTCTTTGGTAGTTATTTGTCCAGGCATTCTCGAATCTGCGGTGCTATGTCGGGTGGCCAAGGATCCGTCGGTAGTTCTGGGTGGTCTTCGGTGGGTTCGGTGGCTCCGGGGTCAAAGGTTTGATTCGGGTTTTTCGGAAGGATGCGTTTGTCAAATGCTTGATGGATCGATGCTCCGGTGGTAATCGCTTATGTGGGCGATGATCGGGGAGGCGTTGGACGTGGGTAGAGTAGTTTCGTAGCTCTGGCGGAACACTTGGGTAGTATTGTCTCCAGACTGGTGCATGAACTGGCTGGTCTCGACGATGTCTGTTTTGTTGGACCAATGGCTTGTTTGGGCGACGGATGCTTGGGTCTGCGGGGCCAAGTCCGGCGGCCACGGCTCCGGGACTGGTTCGGGCTCATGTTCGGCTGGCTGGGGTCTTCGGGTAAAAGGGTTGTGTCGAAGGCGCTGGTCGTTTCATTTATAAGTTGGTAGTCGCTTATGTGGGTGACGATGGGTGTGGTGTCGACCATGGGTGTGATGTTTTGGTATGCCGGGTGTAGTACTCGTGTTATACTACAGCCAGACTGGTACGTGAACAGGTGAGTCGCGATGACGCCTCTGGTATCGCAGCAACGACTTGTGTGGGCGACGAAGATCTCGGACATTGCTCTAGGCATGGCTCGTTGCATGGCGCTAAGAATCATGTCGGTACGCGGAAGGTACTCCAGTTAGAGGTGGAAAAACATCGATGTTTGGAGACATCGATGTTTTCGATGTTTTAGTGAAAAACATCGATGAAACATCGATGTTTTGCAAGATAACAAAAAAAATTTTAAAAAATACATACAATACTGCAAAGCATATGATTAAAATTATAAAAAATAACAGTTTTATTTCATTTGAGATCAAAATCCATTCAGAACAATATACAAAAAAAAAGGTAATTTTCCCAGATTTTAAAACAAGTCCTGATTCTTGTTTAGAAATAATAACTGGTCCACCACTTCCGGCTTAAGGCGACTACGACGTTCGGAAATAATTTGTCCAGCCTTGCTGAACATCCTCTCTGACTCGCAGGATGTTGCCGGGACGCAAAAATATTTTCGGGCTGCAGCTTTAAATGGCATCATGCCGCCTGTATTCATCCACTAAAAATGTAACTATGAATTTAAAAGTATTTCAATTGAAATATTAGTATTACCTTCCAATATAAGAGAGGATCAGTTTCCTTGGGCTCGTTAAGGTTTTCCAGATGTTGTCTTAAAGTCATAATGGCATCCGCGCGAGTTGATTTAACTTTAACCTTTACTTTGTTTTGCAGAAAAGAAAATGTTGGATTCGGTGAAGGTTCGGATAGTGTTTGAAGTTCCTGTGGAGTTTTCGACAAGAAATTATCAATTTCCGTCTCCAAAGCAGTAGCTGCTTGATCTGCATTCGTAATCGTTAAAAATCCCTCCTTTTTAAACCGTGGATCAATTATTGTTGCTATTTGAGCAACAGTTCGTGTTTCGTAGTGAAGGAACCTTGTGTTTAAACGAGTACATAAGAATTTTAAGGCACTTAGAACTTCTACAGTTTTTAGTTTCGATTTTAAGTTGTTCAGCTTTTGCTGTATTTCGCAAGTAAGTGGAATAACCAGAGATATGGTTACATACTTGCTGCCGGAAATTGCGACAGTTGCTTCTTGGAACGGAGAAAGGAGTTCAGCTAATTCCTTCATAATATCAATTTCCTCTACGGAAAATGGTAGTGGCGCCTTAGGCAAACTAAGCAAGACGGTTGATAATGTGTCGTTAGTATCTAAGAGCCCTTTAACCATGGCGAACGCACTGTTCCAACGAGTAGCCACTTCTTGAATTAAACCCATCGGATTTTCAACATCCTGTGCCTGTTTAAATTTTGCCATTCCAATAGGGCTGCGTTTCATAAAAGTAACAATAGCTTTACATTTCGACAAAACTGGATCAAGAATGTCTATTTTTAGCACATATTGAATCAGCAAGTTAAGTGTATGGGCAAAACAAGGGAAATGTGTAATTCCGAGACGCTCACAAGCCTTTTTCATCGAAGCGTCATTGTCTGTCACAATGCAAACAACTTTCTCCACTAGACCCCACTCTACTAAAACCACTCGAATCGATTCTGCGATATTGGCAGCCGTGTGGTTAGTTTGGTTTATCAGAGTCGATGTGGACAGTACGGCTGAATTTAGCTGGAATTCCGAATTTATAAAATGGCAAGTTATGGTTAAGTAGCCTGGCTGTGATCGCCACATTTTCCACGCAATCCAAGGCAAATTTAAGTTTTGTTTTCAAATCTGCATATGCGTTTGGAATCGCTCCGTTACGGAGATGGGTTTTTGCTTGGTAACTTGTAGCGGGGGTCCATTTCTGCTAACAACTCACGAAATCCTCTATCATTGACAACACTAAACGGTTGCACGTCAATTGCGATCATTCGCAATCATTGAGTATTCACGTTTGCTTTTCAAAGGTCCAGCCTCACAGTTTTCCTTTGAAGTTCCTATGATATAGAAATAATATATTTATTAATATTTTATGCATACATATGTATGTATGTGTGTGCATGTGAAAAAGCACATGTGCGCTTACTCTATTGTTGAATAACGTGAATAACTTACTCTTAAGATTTTTTTCCATCGCTCAATAATTGCACACTGCACAGGCTACTTCCAATCCAAACGAAGACAATTTATAAGCTATATATAAAAGAGGGTTTTAATATAAATAACAAATAGCTCCATTAACGACATACATTTTGCGCTTAATCTTCTTCTCTCTTTATGTTTTTCTTTCATAGAGACGGCACAAACATAACAACAAAACATCGATGTTTAGACAAAAAACATCGATGCATCGATGGTCTCATCGATGTTTTTCCACCTCTAGTTCCTGGCAGCGCAGCTACGCTGGCTTTAGCCATGTAGATTCTAAGATATATTTCATGTGAAGATTCGAATAAAGCAAACGAAAGAGAACGGATGTTCTCTTTCAAAGAATTACCATTAATTAATACTGTTTCTACAATACTACCATTCCAGAGCGATGGGACCATTCACTAACTAGAAATAATTTTAACTTAGATGAACTTTTATTTTTTCTAAAATCCAGAAATCCCTACTCAGCTAAAGGAATAGATAATATATTTTATAAAATGCTACTCTCTCTTCTCTTGGATCAACAAGAAAACCTTCTTTCATCATTAAACGAAATTTTCTTCAGTGGAATTCCGAATAGTTGGCGAATAATAAAGGTTATTCCTGTACAAAAAAATGTAGACGCCTCCATAGTCTCAAACAACAGACCTATCTGCCTCCTAAGCGTTTTATTTAAAAGCTTGGAGGGTATGATAAAGATTCGTATGGAATCTTTTATAAATAGGCACAATATACTGCCTAATAGATCTTATGCCTTTAGAAAAAACCACTCCACTGCACACTGCATAAATGATGTAATAAATAATGTAGCCAATCTCAAAGCCAAAGGCTTTCAGGTTGTTGCAGCGGTTTTGGATATAAGCAAGGCATTTGACGCAGTCAACATATCTCTGCTGTGTCGGAAGCTAATAGATTTGGAGTTTGACATAGACTATATTAGGTTTATAATTAGTTTTTTGAAGAAAAGGGTTTTAAAATGCGGCAAACAGGAAAAAACTGTTCACAAGGGTGTGTGTCAAGGTAGCTGCCTTAGCCCAATACTTTTTAATATCTCCACATCAGATTTTCATTCTATAAATGATGAAAATTGTATTCTATTTCAGTATGCAGATGAATTTTTTATTTTATGTTTTCACAAAGTTTTCGATTCGGCTAAGAACATTTTAAAAGAAAAAATAATTTCTGCCAATAGCTCCTCAGTACTTCACATTGATGAAATAATTTCAAAATCAAATAAGAATAACATGTTTTTACAAAATCTAACAAAATTAAAGTTCATATAAATTTTCATCTTAGGCGAGCACTAGGCCTAATAAAGTCCACCCCGGTAAATATAATTTACAATCTAGCTGCCGAACTTACACCTGAATACAGACTAAAATTTATTACAGCTAAGGAGCTGGCTAAGGTTTTTGCCTATGGTCTTCCGGCGTCATCGCTTTTGGTCAGTTCTTTTTCGGCACGGAATACCAGCTACGCCAAAGTCTACGACGAATTTAAAGATATTTTGAATGTAATTGTACCGATACAGACACAGATCGACACCGACACAGATTTTTTCAAGTGCTCATGTCCAAACAAAAGATCTGCAAGTAACGTTCTTATAAATTCGTTAGCTCAAGAAAAATTAACACATTTAAAATCTAAACACTTCAATTTAATTTTCACGGATGGTTCAGTCACAGACAATTACGTGGGTTGTGCCTTTATCCATAAAGCATCAGGATCCGTTAAAAGTTTCTTTACCAACAAAAAGTTATCGTCACTCACAGCTGAGCTTATAGCCATTAATAGGGCCATTGACTTTGCCATTTCCGAAAACTTTCTTAAAACTGCAATCCTCACTGATAGTCTCAATGGGGTTTTAAATTTAAAAAAGATCAACCCAGATAATTACATTGCCAAAGAAATAATAAACAAAATTGAAAACGCTCCCTGTTTGCTCGTAGTGGAATTTCATTACATTCCAAGCCATGTACATATAAAAGAAAACGAATTAGCTGATATTGCTGCAAAGAATGCTCAAATTAATGGAACATTCTTTATTTCTCGCTGGTCTCTTAAAGACGCCATCACAAATATTTATAATAAAATTAAAGAAAATTGGGAAAAAGAGAATATATTACTTACGCCACGGAAAGAAATATATTTATAATAAAATTAAAGAAGATTGGGAAAGAGAATATATAACTTACGCCACGGAAAGAAAAAAAGGTAACACAAAATATTTCCTTATATACTGGACAAACCATGCTTTAAAGACAAAAACTGTAATCTAAGCCGTCTGGAAATCAAACAAATTATTAGACTACTAAGGGGTCACGGAATACACAAAGTTTCGCTTACTAGAATGAAAGTAATAAATAACAATTTATGTGATTCCTTCAAACTACCAGAAGACACTTCACATATAATTTTTATATGTCACGCTTACTCTCAAGAAAGCAATCTTTTTCCAGTACTCAAATCTTATACTGATATTTGTATTTGTAATTGAATTTGTATTTATTTAATAAGGTTCAACTAAGAGCAGTTAAACTAACAAATTATAACGTAATATGAAAAGGACAAGAACAGGGATTATCAGACTGTGGATATTATCCTGACCCAATAGGACTAAATCATTGGCAAAATAGGCAAAATGGTCCAGTTCACAGCAAGTTGAGGTCAGGAAATAGCCTATAGCCTATTAAGTTAAGATAATTAATTTAAGTTATTTGTTAACAAAGATTTTAGCTTAATAGAACTAGTGTCGAAGGAAAACAGATGGAAGAAGGTATTGTAGTTACGGCAAAGGCTACGGAAAGATTCATGGTCAGAGTAATTAGAAAGACAGAGTTGAAGATGAAGCCTAGTAATGCCTAGTCGGGCGGGAAGGAACAGAAATGCTAATAAGGCTACTGAGGGCAGGTGAATCAATCTCACCAGCAAGAAGTTTGTGAAGAAAAAGCACTCCATGGCAAATCCTACGGCTTTCAAGAGAGCGGATATTGAGGAGCCGGAGCCTACTCTCATAAGAAGGAAGATGTCTAGAGGGGTCCCAATTAAGGCTGTTTGATCGAGGAGCGTTTTCCTCAATATAGTTGTTCAAGGATGGGGGTGTGTCAATCTCCAAGTGAGCTAATTAAACTCGATGCGAAGAAATTTGCTGGAATCCAATAATAATCCGAAAAGTCGAGGGGGTTCAGTTGAGTGCTAGCCAATGACTATTTATTTGGTTTCTAAGTGCATGAGCACTGAGCATAAGCGGGCTTCTAGTGTGGTAAATTCAATTACAAATTTAGTGCAAGAGCGTAACAAAGAGAGTAAAAATGAGCGTAAGGTACTACAAGGCGAGGGTCATTTAAGTGATTATTATATTATATTATGGCATTAAGAGTTTGATCGAACATCCCGGCCCCGTTGAAAGGATTGCTTTCAAACTACCGGAAGAATTGCCAACTTGTGTACTGGCCTGCAGCAAGTTCCATTCGCGGTGCGGAGGTGCACCACGCGTACACGACCATCCCTTCCGAGCAATGTAGACTGCATCGGCCTACTTTCCAGCGTAGTTGGGGCAGGTTGTCCTCATGAATGATGACCATTGTGCCCTCAGTGAGATTCGTTGAGGGTGCTGTCCATTTCGTGCGAGATCGCAATTCGTTGACGTAATCCATCGACCATTGCTGCCAAAACCGTTGCTTGACGGCGGTGATCATGTCGTAGCGGTCCAAATTCGACAACTTGACGTTTTCGAGGGATCTCTCAGGCAACGAACGCAATGATTCGCCAACCAAGAGGTGACCAGCCGTAAGAGCGTTGAAGTCGTTCGGGTCTGACGAGAGTGGTGATATCGGGCGCGAGTTATGGATGGCTTCTATCTCCACTACGACGGTGCTCAGTTCTTAAAACGTAAACCTTGTGTTTGCCAATGTTCGATTCAAGAGCCCTTTCGCACTCTTGACGGCCGCTTCCCAAAGGCCTCCGAAGTGAGGTGCCCTGGGAGGAATAAAGTGGAAATTAATAAAATCTGTGGCGCAAAATCTATAAATTTCATCTTGGGTCTCCTTTTTGAACATAAACCTTTTGAGTTCAAGCAGTTGATTTGATGCCCCGACAAAATTAGTGGCATTATCGCAGAAAATGTCTGCCGGAAATTTTCGACGACCTCCCATCCGCTTCAATGCATTCAAGAACGCCTTCGTTGATAAGTCCGAAACTACTTCAATGTGAACGGCTTTGGTGAGAAGGCAAACGAAGGCCCCTTTCCTCGAATCCGTAGATAGGTATTAATATGTCCACAAAAATCCACTTCAGCGTTCAAACGGTCGGGCAGGAGAGAGTCGAGATGGTGGTAATGAGCCCATAAGTTGGTGTAGCAGCTTTGGTCTGTAGCGAACACAGTGTACACAGGAGCGGACAATTCGACGTGCCAAGTCTCTGGCTTTAACGATCCAGTATTGCAAACGAATGAGAGCGACTTAGGCCTTAGGGCCAGCGTGATAGTTGCGAATATGCAAGTGACGAATATAATTCCAAACAAGTTTAGTCTGGCTAGGCAGCAGCAACGGATGTTTTTGACCGTCTGGTAGGTGTGAATATTCCAATCGTCCACCAACCTTGACGAGCTCGAATCCATTTACGAGTTATAAAAAGGGAGTAAGAAACTTCAAACTACTCTTCAATGGTTTTTGCTTCTGAAGTAAACGAATATCTTCTGTGAAATGAGTTTGTTGAATGTTCCAAATAAGGCAGTGCGAAGCAAAACGAAGCTCATTCGGTGTCGGTGAGGATGTGGTAGGCGTCGATTGCTTCCGACATCTCTTTATGAACCTTACCATCCAGGCAATGAGACGAAGACTATGACTGTACGAGCTGACATTATCGACTATCTCGAGGATATAATTTCTCTCCTGTACCGCGGTGAACATGCTTTTCCGCTTCTCCGAGTTGACCACGTCCATGTCAATGACAAGTTGTTTACTGCTGGTGGGCCATTTCAACGAATCTTCCAGCAGATATAAGGGACCAGAAAACCATGTCGTTTTATAAGCTCGCTAACGTTGCAGCCTCGCGACAGAAGATTAGCTGGATTTTGATATGTTGGGACGTAGCGCCACTTCCCACCAGACGTCATCTCCTGAATGTCA